AACTATACATATAGGGCACCCATCAAAAATGTGTTCTGGATGGATGTTGGTGTTCTAACCAGAGCCACTGACTTCAGTATCTTAAGTTCATTTGGACCTGGGTTAATTTAGCCAAAGAATTTCTGAAGATGCTCCAAGCCATGCCCCATCCATTTCAAGGATCCAGAAACAAGTATTTGTGAATTGATTATGTCTCTTGTCCCATCCTCTGCACATCTTGGCTTCTCCACAGTGGTTTCCCACTAACAACCTCTAATTTTTAAGGAGTTCTACACGTAAGTGTCTCCGGACAGAGTACCCCAAGGCACTATGCTCTTATTTTATTTTTTTTTAAGATTTTATTTATTTATTTGACAGACAGAGAGAGAGCATGAGAGGGGAGAAGGTCAGAAGAAGAAGCAGACTCCTTGCTGAGCAGGGAGCCCGATGAGGGACTCAATCCCAGGACTCCGGGATCATGAGCTGAGCCGAAGGAGTCGCCCAACCAGCCGAGCCACCCAGGTGCCCAAAATGCTCTTATTGTAGAAGAACCACTTTACCTTTTGTCCCAGAGGAAAGAACCTGCTGCACGTACCACAGACTTTGGTTCTGCACTGAAGAGCACTGTGACCTTGTGGTCATGCTTCAACTGTGAAATGAGAGATGCCATGAGGGCCTTTCTAGTTCCTTCTGTCCATTTTCTCCATGTCCATCACTTCTAATGGGTGAGGTGAGACAGTAGGTTGCTTGAGAGTGAGCCTCTGGGCTTCCCCCAAATCTGAGAGACTCGTGGCCTCCTAATCAGTGTCTCCCAGTGTAAGGGTATCAGTGTGACAGCAGGTGAAACCAGAGGAGGCCGCCAGGACACCTGCGCTGGCTCTGAACTCGACTGCTGGGTTCCGATTTGTACCAGAGCAGACAGGGAAATAGGAGGACCAAAGTCAGCTGGGAGCTGCTGGCACCAGAGGCTGACAAGGTGGGCAGGGCCAGATTCCTCAGAAGGCAGAGCTGAGTCACCAAGGCAGAAACCAGGCTATGAGTAAGTTTCTCTCGGTCCCCAAACAGAAGCCGGGGCCACCAGGGAGCAGAGTGGAACTGGCTGAGGGTGAGGCCGGCTGGACACAGGCCTCATTGCCATGGGCGTTTCCTTTCAAAATGAAAAAACGGACTCTTTCTAGCTACTCTATCTGGAGATCTGTATCAGTCCAAGATGAGGGAGGTGTTTGAGCTCATTGCCAGCACATTTGAGTTTAACCCACCTGCCTCTTTACTGACCCTGTTTGGGCAATGGATGTGTAAAGGGAAACACTGCAATTTCACCCGCCCCAAACTCCCCAGGACCCATCGTCAACAGGAGTGATGGCAATGGATCAAAGTCTTACTAGCTGACCAGCTGGATGGGTCCTAGTCGACTGGCACCAGCCTGTGGGGTGACCCCAGGGACCACTGTCCTCCAGGACCAATGTGCAGCGAGCCAGAGAATTACTGTAACGGCGCTGAGCTTGGATCTCTCCTCCATCCCTTAGCAGCCGAAAGACCTCAGCTCTCTCCAAGATAAGAATACCCGAGCTATAAAGGTTAAGACAATTAAAGGAGGCTGTGCCTGTAGAGCAGCTAGCAGATGGCAGGCCCAAAAATAAATGAAACTGGTCTGTTCGATCTGGAACCAGATAAGGAATGCTCCGTCTACATTTTCCAGCTGATACTGCAGAAGGTCAAGTGACAATATTTTGGAGATCACTCTGTCAGAAGCTCGCTTTAACAATTAAGTTTCGGGGCGCCTGGGTGGCTCAGCGGGTTAAGCCTCTGCTTCGGCTCAGGTCATGATCCCAGGGTCCTGGGATCGAGCCCCGCATTGGATTCTCTGCTCAGCAGGGAGACTGCTTCCTCCTCTCTCTCTGCCTGCCTCTCTGCCTACTTGTGATCTCTGTCAAATGAATAAATAAAATCTTAAAAAAAAAAAAAAATTAAAAGTTTCGGGGGGCACCAGGGTGGCTCAGTGGATTAAGCCTCTGCTTTCGGCTCAGGTCATGATCTCAGGGTCCTGGGATCGAGTCCTGCATCAACCTCTCTACTCAGCAGGGAGCCTGCTTCTCCCTCTGACCTTCCCCCTTCTCATGCTTGCTCTCTCTCTCTCTCGCTCTCTCAAATAAAAAAAACCTTTAGGGAAAAAAAAAAGAAGTTTCGGGTTTTTTCATGGCTTTCCTGGCAGCAATCTGAGTCGTCAGAGGAGTAGGAGGCAGACACGGAAGTGCCGATGGTTACAAAGCAGCAGCCTGTCAACGAGTGTGTCCCACGGTGCTTCCTGGCCCCAGGTTTGTAAGATACACGGTCATTATATTCGAGCATCCTAAGCAAGATGCATGCATCATATATGAACACACGAATGTTTACAGACGTACACACAATGTTACCTTCACTGCACTATGCATGTAAACCAGCATTACGCTCATCTGGGGTGAGGACTCTAACATTAGCCCCTGAGTTTGCTCTCACACACGGATCCAGACACTAAACATACTTAAAACACCAATGACCACCACCCCAGACACAAAGCGCTGTAAGCAGGTCAGAGAAAAAAACCCTTCAGTGAGAAAACAGCACCTCCTAGTGGCAGGTCGTTAAAGAAACAGAAGCCGAAGCTGGAAATCCCTCTCTGAAAATCCAGCCACAGACACGACTCATTGTTTCCAGTTTCAAAAAGAAGTCTCCTATTAATAAGTATCAGTAACCCAAATTCAATTTTGTTGGGCAAAACGCTCGACTAACTTTCCCCCTTACATTTTTAACTAACCATGATCAAATTAATGATTGCTACACATTTACAGGAAGTCAGTAACAGGAAGTCAATAGTAATTTTTTTTTTTTTTTTTTGGTCAATAGTAATTTAAAGAAAACTTTAAAGTGTCATGTGTAAACTCAGACTTGTCTTTGTGAAAAGGGATGTTAACAGAAACAGTAAACTAAAGCAAGCAGCTCTTCTGAAATTTTACTTACAAAATTCACCAAAAAGGCTGCCAAGATAAAAGCAAAGCAAGCCCTCAGATTATAGACTCAAACTACATAGGAAATTTTGAAGAAAAAATCAGAAGTCCAACCAAATTAGCATTTGAGAAAACATAAAACATGGTGGGGAAATTAAAGGAAATAATAATGAAAGAATAGTTCCCTTGGTTTTCATTTTTTTAATAAAGATTTTTTTAAAAGATTTTTATTTATTTGTCAGCAGAAGCACAGAGAACTACAGGCAGAACAGGCAGAGCAGGCAGAGGGAGAGGCAGGCTCCCTGCTGAGCAAGGAGCCTCATGTGGGACTTGATCACAGGACCTTGGGATCATAACCTGAGCTGAAGGCGGACACTTATACGACTGAGCCACACAGGCGTCCCAGTTTTCATAATCTCTACACTCAACCTGGGGGTTCATCACACTGACATCAAGAGTCACTCGCTGTACTGACTGAGCCTGCCAGGAGCCCCTCCCCTTAGTTTTTATAAATGAAAAAATGGAATTCAAGCCTAAGAGCCAACCTGCTTGAGTGGCCAGATTTCTGTCCCTGTGGCAGAGCTTGGAACCTTCTAGAAGGGCAGAATGGTTACTGCGATCACCACGGATTAACACCATGCCAATGAAAACAAGGAGTCTTGGTGGAAGTTAAAGTATTTATTGATGTGTTTCAACTGTACATTCTCCACAAATCAGATTAAGGAGTTTGTAGGTGAAGTTTATCTGTGCATAGTGGGAAGACACATGGATAAGGGAGGAGGGGGGGAAGAAAGAAAAAAAAAAAACCCTAAAAAACAAAAAACGGTCACAGGGAAATAGAAAAAAATACACCACAGGTTACCAGAACCTCCAGACTAAAATAAAAAAGGAGAAGAAAGAAAAAACAGAAAAAAAAGAAAAACGGTGAGCATCATCAACTATACAAGCATCACAAAGACTCAGGTGAAGGAAACAAAATCTCCAAAGCTTTCCACAGTGTCTACAGAGCATTTCTTGTACAATGTGGAATATGCTCCTTGCACATAAAGCCAGCCCCACACCTCTCTCCCAGGGTGGGTGGGGGGAGCGGGGAGGGCCACCCAGTACTGCGGTCTTCTCTGAGCAGCTGAGAGGCAACTGCCGGGAGGGGGCGGCCAGGGAAGTCAGGGTACAATGGGGAGGGACGAGGCTCAGTGCCTTGGTGGGGGGGAGGGGGGGATGTCTAAAGAGGAAAAGACAGCATGTGTGGACGTGACTGGGAAGGGAAGTGAGTAGTAAAAAGCTACGGTCAGTCAACAGCAGAACGTCCTATACAAACTACAGGCTAATTTCCGTGGAAGAACTGGATTTAGAAGGAAAGCAGTAGTGGCTGCCCTAATCTGTATACGGTAGGCTCCCTAAAAGCCGCCAAACCAGATGCTTTCAGCCTCCTGGGTGACACCAAGGTGCCCAGCACTGGGAACACCAGACTTCCAAGAACCTGGTCCTCTGACACGATTTTGCGAGGGTCTCATGATGTGCTTGAATGGTCAATGACGGTTCCCGATCACGTTTAGTTTCTGGACAACTTTCTGGAAGCTAGCTCATTGAAAAAGGGAATACTGCCTTAGTTTCTTCTTCTTCTTCTTCTTTTTTTTTCCCCCTAAGAAAAACCAGGACAGTGAATGAGCCTTAAACAGTGTTTCATACAATGCAACTGGGACGGCCTGCACAGTCTATCACTGAAAACCAACATTGTCCATTTACAGTAAGCATATGTGAGACAATACAATAGAAGTGGGATTTCTGATTAATTTAAAAAAAGAAAACTACATCAGTCAAATATCTGCAATAGATCTTTTTTTTTTCATTTAAGGTTTATATATCATATAGTTATATTAACATTTTTCACCCATTTAAAAGAATGGAAATTGTGATTCTACAGTAGTATTTTATAGTCTTAATGATCCAGGAGGTCCGAATGGAAGCTGGAATCCTCTGGGAGCAACTGCAGGGCAGGAGCTGCTCCCAAACGTCAGGCCTCCCTCTCCTGGCCGCGCTTCCTCCCGCTCAGATCTGCATCTGCTCTAGGTATTTGTAGGTGGGGTTTTCGTAGCCATGGTTCTGCATCTTGTTGAGGTGACGCTCTTCTGGGGTGAGCATTGGGTCAACCTGGAAGAACGAAGACGGAAGATCACCGCGCTGTCCCAGAAGAGAACCGCACAGGCTATCGGAAGACGGGAGCTGTGTGCTGTGCAGTCCCCCGGGAACCAAAATCTACCTGGTGTCCAACTGCCACTGGGCACAGCGAACCAGAGCTGGTGGCAAGGACACAGGAGGAGGAGGAGGAGGAAAAGAAGGGGGTCAAAGAGGCTGCTGAAACCTGTCCTAAACGCCGAGTCTGAGCTAAAGAAAAGAGTGAACTAAATTTCCTCGCGGCACAGCACCGACCAAGTCTTAGCTGTGCCGCTAACTGTTCGGGACAGCCTCGGGGAGCGATCCCTGTAAAACCAGGACTGGGACCACATGATCTCTAGGGTCTTTTCCAGCTCAGAAATTCTACTACTAGGCAAATATCCAGCAGGAGGTGAAACCAAGTCACTAAGACACACGTCCGGACTGATTTTCCAGAGCACATCACATTCCTTACTTATGGCGTAGAAATTTGGACATTCCCATCACTCACCTCAAAATGAGTTGTAAGCAGTTCGAATTATGACTCACCAGAAGACGGAACTGAAACACTCTGCTCTGGCTCTGAATTTCCTGTTGCTTTCTCCCCCCAACTTAAAAGACCATTGGGACTGAGCCTGGGTGGCTCAGTCAGTTAGATGGCTGCCTTTGGCCCAGGTCATGATCCCAGGGTCCCAGGATCCAGCCCTGCATCAGGCTCCGGGCTCTGCAGGGGGGCTCTGCTTCTCCCTCTCCCTCTGCCTACCGCTCTCCATGCTCTCTAACTTTCTCCCTCTGTCAAATAAATAAATAAAATCTTTTTTAAAAATGAAAATAAAAATAAAAAGACTATTTCATACTCTGAACACTTAACTCACTCACGATTGCCACTGTTGCCCTATCTGTCATATACCTGGTTTGCTCCTCAAAAAAATCCAAGTCAACAACAAAAACAAAAATTAAAGAAGGGTATCAACAGTCTTCATGCTCAAATACCTAAATATATCAGAAAGAATGAAACACTAAGGAAATCATCTGAAAAAAGTTTTCACCCTCTGCACCAGAAAACACTTTTATGGTTTCCTCACGTTCACAGTCAAAGGCCCAAATTAATGTTAAAATGTGATAGGGACAACATAATTCAGTTGGGGTGGACTTCCAAGACTTGACCTGATAACCAAGTGACTAATTTAACCCATGAAGTTGAGATGTTTGAATTCCATAAACCTCCCTGACAGCACAGAGCCAACCATCACCAGCTCGGGGCACAGAAAGGCCTGCTGCTCACCTCCACGATCCCATGGCTGATGGTGCCATACTGTCTCTTCCTCAGCATCACTAGGCTGATGACGATGACCGTGGCAATGGCCACCGCGATGACCAACAGCCCAATGAGGGCGCTGCTGCTCAGACTGAAGTCCTCCCGCAGGGGCCCCACAGATTCCTAAAGCAACAGAGCAGACGTGCGACAAGGTCTTGGTGACTCTGCACAGCGGGAGACACGCACTCCAAGAGGGCCAAGCTCCTGGAGAATCGTGACTCCAAAAACTAAGGGAGCACCAAGATCCTGTCTTCCAAGTAACCATCCCCATAAGGAGAACTCTCACTTTTCCCAATCTCCATGGAGATCCTAATTTTAGCTTTCTTACCCCAAAGTATGTAAAAATGGGGACAGGGGCCTTTGATAGCTTGAGATGCCAGGCATCTCTCCATTTTTCACTTGAAATGGAAAGAGCGAACCCCTGGCCATTGGGGTCTGCAGCTAAACACGTACCGGCTCTGCCTCCAGGCCACCAACCCTCTCGGCATTGAAGATCATTTCCTTAACGTCCAGAGTCTCGTCGATGACCTGAAACGGTATGAAGAGGTCAACAACTGGGTGCACGTGGACATTTAATACAAATGGAACTGCTTCTTTTCCACTCCATGTATTATCTGGCGGAGGGAAGCAGAGTCCTGAGGACACCCATTAACCAAGCAGTTCGTCACATTCTAAACCCACTAACCAAACCCCTCAAGGAGGAAGCAAGTGCGGACACAAGGTTACTGCATCACAGCCGCCTCCTCGGGAACCTTCCCCTGCATTTCCCTTTAGGTGACCACCAAGGAGAGACATTTCAGGACAGACTACCAAGAAAGCATGTTTAAATATCGAACTCAGTTGAGGATCATCCAAAAAGTGCTCATAGAATAGTAACAGTAGACACAAACCTAAAGCAACAGAAGAGTAAAAATCAACTATATTCCAATTTCAAGTTACTAAATCTCTATACTCACTTGAAAATGGCCTCTCGTATTTTAGCCCTATCTGTAGGTGCGCGTCTATAGCAACAGATGAGCTACTGCTGAAAAGTGATTCTCATACCCTTCTCATACCCAGATGCTCAACACCACAACCGATTTGTGGGAGCAGCTGGAGCCAACCCATCTTCTACCACACGGAAAAGGAAGACACGGAGGTTCATCTGGAAAGCGTCGAGAACAATGCCACTCACGCTGATTAGTCTCAAAATTACAACATGGCAGGGCAGAAGGGAGAAATGGCTCACCATATTTTCATCCACTTTATTCTTACTGTTAATCAGTTTCTCCTCAGCACCAATCAGTCCTCCATCCTGCTCTCCCACTCCAGATCCTGTGTTGGAGAGAGATCACAGCAGAGTGTTTCCCAGGCTGGGCTGGCCTCGTGCCAACCTCATGGTAGCAGCAGACCCCCTCCTGAGGGCCAGGGAGCCCTCGCTATCACCTCCCCACCCCCACTGCCCACCCCAGCTACATGATATGCTACTTTATTCCCAGCTCTGGGGATGCACTGTGCTCTGTAAGGATGAATGGTACAGGCATTTTTCAGAGGACCGATGGGTATAATGGAGGAGGAGAGTGCTTACTTATATCCAGCTTGGAAAAAGTGGAATGCCAGCCTTCAGAAGAGAATGTTTATTGTAAGGAAAACAGAAGTGGAGTGAAGGCATTCTAACCCTCACATGATATTACCAAGCGCCTGTTATCCCACGACCCGGTACTTCCACACCCTGGGCTCCCTCTGCACGGAGGCACCATCGTACCAGCAATGAATCTGCACATCTGCCTCGAGCGTCCTATTTCATTCCACAGGCAATTCTTTCCACCTGAGATACCCTCCTTGCCTGACCTCAAACGCTTCCTGTTTGTCCTCCGAGCTGCAGCTCCTCTTGGGAGACACTCCCAGCTTGCGGCACTTAAAATCCTTGTTTATCCTCATTCGTCCTCCTCTGTGTCTCCCACTAGCCTGTCGCCCTCTGAGGGCTTAGGTCACAGATGTCACATCTTCAGTGGGGATCAGAGAAGGAACAGGAAGGAAGCATTCCACAGACAGGGAGAATTCTAAACACGAGGGTGGAAGGTACCTTTCTGTATATGGAGCAAGACTGGCCACACTCCTCTTGTCAAGGTCAGACATCACCTGAGCCAATGTCACCTGTGCGTGGCACCCCAAATGACAGTATGTGAAGATGTGGCGTGACAAGCCAGCACAAACCCAGGCACAGAAGAACGGATGAGCACTCTCCTTATTTCCAGCTCTAAAAAGCATGTGACTCCTAGTCATTCTCCCAGTTTTTCGTGAATAGTAAGATCCACCATTGTATATAAATGTCTGTGATCTGAGCCTTCTACAAAGAGATCCCCCTGCCAGCACACCCAGCATTCTAAGGGGGCAACGTGCATGTGAAGACGACTCACACCAGAGGATGTGCCAAGCACTGCTGTCCCTGGGCTTGTTGACAGTGACACTGAGCCCAGCCACAGCCAAGCCTTCCAGCTCACAACCGCACTCGCTCTTGCTGCGGGGTCATGAGTAATAGCTACCCCAGGCGCCGATCACGCGGGCTCGCTACTGTGTTCACTCATGAGAAGGCAGCCAAAAATAATGCCAGTTTTTCCTGAAGCTTTCACTTCAAAGAGGAATTTCACAACTCGATTCTAGGGTTTGTTAAATCAGGGCTGGCTTCTGTAGTCTCAAAATGCCCCTGGAACGGTATTACTGCCTGCCTACTACTTGAGAAAGAGGAATCTGGAGAGGTGCTGTCTCAGCAAGGATGCAGACGAGTAAGCCTAGTAAACTCTAATCCTTCTGTCACTCCCTCTTCTCTCCTCCACCAGATTTTAAAGGTCACAGGGCAAGATCCTATTTGAAAAGTAACATGGCACTGAACCAACTAATTTCAAGTCCTACTACTAGTCTAGACCATTCTCAAACTCCTCTGGTGGCATAACCCACAGGTTTTCTTAAACACTGACCAAAACCACTTTGATTTTCTAGAAGGGATAAATAAGTGACATTAAGAGAACAAAAACTCATGTTTAAATTATTCCAGCTAATAACAAGTGAGGTATGAGGACGAAAGCCAGGTAAACTAGGAAATTCATCTCTAGCTACAAATATCTAGGATGTACTGTTCAGAAGAAAGGGAACAAACACAGTCATCTCCAAGAAGAGGCATATTCAAGTAGAACCAAATCAGGTATTACATATAAGTGATTTTTACAAGATTTGAACTGCATTCTCATGTTCTGAGGAAAAGCTGTGGCAGAAACCACAACATCAAATTCCTCGAGAACACTGCTCGGTCCAACCACAGTCTGCCAGAGCCAGCAGACAGGGCTCATAAAACACACCCTAAGAACACACTGACCCTAGGACGGCAGACTACTCAACAACCTGGGGAAATTCGGCAACACTTTATGGAACAGAAACGCATGGGCTTTGAAGACAAAGGAGCTGGGTTCAAATCTGAATTCCTCCATTTCTCAAAGTCATGAGTCTGAGCAAATCCTGCAGCCTGAGGCTTCTTCAACCACCTAACCTGTCAGAGCTAAAACCCAACCATAAGGTATGCTCAGTGCATTAAATGAGAGCAAGCACATGAGGCCCTCAGAGTGGTGTCTACGGAGTCCCAGCACGTTCTGAAGTTTGGACGCTCACTACTGTGCAGCAAGAATTCACTTGTCACAACCTGTTATGTCCACCAGCTTCTAAGCTTTTGAGGATGGCTACAACTTCGGACAGGACACAAGTGGGCATCAACAAACGGCCAGGTACAGTGAAAAGGAAAGGGAAACATGTAGTGGGAGCAGCAGACTGGGGGAGGTGGGGGGGGGGGGGAAGAGGTCAAAGAAAACGACTGTCTACCTGCCCCTAAATCAAGCACATTTTAATTGTTTAAAACGATTCTTTTTTAAAGTAAACTCTACACCCAATGTGGGGCTCAAACTCCCAACCTGAAGATCGAGAGTCACAGGCTCTACTGACTGAGCCAGCCAGGTGCACCCAGCGTTATTTTCAAATATAGAAGCAATTCCAGCCAACCTGTTTAAATTGTATATGCATTTAAAAATCTACCCAGATGAAAATGTTTCACAGAAACATCTGTATTCTCTGGGCATCCAGAAGGAAAGTTTAGGATGGCACCTTATCACCAACACCAATGACACTGGATTCTACGTGGGGGACGCAGGGCTATCTGGCTCCACTCCCAGCCACGCCTGAAGAAATGAGGTGGGAAGATCTCAGGTGATGGGATGACACAGAAAATGAAACTCCCGACACATGGGGGAAGTGAAGAGGAATGAGGTCTTTAAAGGTAACATCTTTGACAGACCAACCTTTTTTCATTGGGTGGTACAACTCCGGCTGAGTGTCTAGCAGAAAGGAAAACAATAAAAAAAAAAAAAATAGCACAAAAAGGAGATTAAGAAAGAAAATGGCTTCTTTCAAAATTCCTATCTGAGAATTTCTCTGTAATGTGAACAGAAAGTAAGCTTCCTTAAAGATATGCCCGAAATACCCCAAAAAACAAACCAGCAGGTAAGAGCTGCCGCATACGGACTGGAAGGCAGGAGGGAAAGAACAGGTCTGCCTTGGGTCTTTGGGGAGACATTTTTTGGGAGAGTCCCAAATTCTTCAGCTGAGCCCACATAGTTATTTTTCTTAGGAAATAATAAAGTCAGTATCAACCGAGGTTTTCTGACAAGGGGATAAGGTCCTCATTCAGACATGTGCGAGATGCCCTGGCCCGGAACAAGGTGTGTGAGCACGGCCAACCTACAGGCCCACGGAAGTCCGGTGTTGGGAAGGGCAGGGTTTGGGAACGAAGTGGTATCTCTTTATGTTATCTGGCTCCTTCCTCAGATTCTGTCTAAGTACCTCACGGTCACTCACACTGAACTGGTTGGTGCTTCTGAGGTAACTGGTTCAGAAGGCATTCGATTAAGGTCTGAAGGCCAAGCTGGATGCTCCCCATGGTCCCCGTTCAGCAGGCGTCTGGCGTGCACCGCTCTATCTGACCAGGGGCAGCTAACCATACCCAGGACTGCAGGGGCTCAGATCCTTACTCTCCCCCTACAAGCTACATGACCCTGGGCAGACACTTAACTTCTTTACATCCTGGAATGCCCAAATGAAGACAGTCCCCAGGACCTATGTCCGGCGGCTTTCTTGAGGACTCAAGGAGAGCAGCCAGGCACCAGCGGTATGATGAGGACTCCAGGGTTGTGGCCACGATTTTCCCTGTCACCCCCATTAGCAGTTAGCACAGCAGACAAATAAATAGAAACTGATTCCACACCCTGGTCTCAGGGCACCTGGCTCAGCAGCTTGTTTATTTCTGGTGCAGACCCACAGCTTTTAAAGATCCTTTCAGACACTGAGAACTAGCAAGGGAATAGAAGGAAGCATGCCAGACCGGGAGTCACAGCAACAGGACTCCCCCCGCCCCCCAATACCAGAGGTGTCACCTTGAACAAGTCAAGCCTCCTCTGTGGCCTCTCCACGGCCTGCCCTCCCCCACTTGTTATGAAAAGCTGATGACCTCACATAACACGGAAGTGCTATTTCAGCAGCAGAGTGAGGTCCACGTGCAAGGAGTCACACTCTGGTGGCAGCTGCCAGGACCAGGAGAAAGAGAGGGTTTCACACAAACCATCTATGAAGTGGGAGAACTACTACTAACCTCATGGGGATCCTGAAGCCAACCACCTAAAGGCCCCCAGCACGGTACCCGCACACAGTAGACGCTCGGGGAATCCGGTTTCCTTTTCCCTGCCCAGCTGTCCCACTAGGTTCCAAAACGCTCCCTTCAACTTTCTAACTGGGTGCCACACCCTGCCCAGGCCAGCCCCACCAGCAAGCTGGGCCGCCAATCATGCGATCATACTCACCTTCACTCTCAGGTAAGGATGGGAAGGGATGGAAGGGATGGAACGGCGGGATCTCCTCGCTCTCTTCGGAGCTCACCCGGACGTCCACGGGGGTCTCGGAGATGGAGGCAGTGAACTGGTCCATGTCGGCACGCTGCTCCTGAAGCAGCTCATCTGACAAAGACAGACACGGCAGCGAGTGGCTTTCAGAAACACCGCCAGTGTGAACGAGGCTAAGCTGGGTCATTCTGCGGAAGGGAGCATCTCGCCAGCTCACAAGGCAGCGGACAACTCCCTCCTACCTACAACCCCGATTCCATACCACTGCAGAACCCCAGCACCAGGAGCCCAGTGCCCCCGTCCCTGGCACGCCCCTCTCCTCTAGGAACTCATTCTGGGGCTCAATGGTTTCTTCCCACAGCAGAGCTCTGATGCATCCATAGGCCATGACCCCCAAATCTGTACCTCCAATTTACTGCCCTGTCCTCTGGCTCATCGGCCAGCCTCCCTTACACCCGCACTTATGTCCAGCAGCGAATTCTATTTTTCTCCTGTAGAAAGAGAAGGCTTCTCCTCAGTAAAGGGGCGCCACCCTCCCCGCTGCTGCTGACAGTGGAAGCCTGGGCCCTGCCCTCAGTGTTTCCTGCCCCTCTGCCCAGCACCCGAGCCAGCAGCACACCAGGCTCACCCCTCCTCTGCCATGTCAGGTTTGTCATTTTAATACCACGCAGCAGCCAGTGAATTTTTTTTTTTTAATTCCTGTTCTTTTTTAAAGCATAATACAGCTCTAGTCACTCCCTAGTGTAAAACCCTCTAAAGGCTGTTATCCTAGAATAAAACCCAAACTCCTTGATTTTGCTAAAATCTCTGCAAAGTGGCCTCTGCTAACTTCTTTAGCCCCCTTCCTCCCCCAGTGTTCCAGCCACACCGATCTACTCAAATGTGTCCGCCTGACTAAAGCTTCAGGCCACTGCAGGAGTCATTCCTCCGCTTACCATGTCCCCCCCCTCGTGATCTTTGCGCGGGAGGCTCCTTCTCATCACGTGGACCCCAGGCTACTGTGCTGACACAGCCTCCCTGACGACCCAGCTACTCTCCGCCGCGCCACTCTGTTCCACCCACCACGTGGCACTCCCTGTCTTGTTTTCCTGACTCCCCTACTGTAACGTGACCGCCAGGACAGACCGACTGCTGTCTGTGACACACAGCAGACAATGTGTTTGCCAGATAAATAAAGAAGAAGAGCAGAAGAGGGAGGGAAGTGAGAACGTGTGTAAAGCAGGTGCCTTAACTGCATCAGCAATTAAGGAGGAAAAGGGCAACAGGAAGCTCCCCAGGTCCCCTGCTATTTCACACCTTGGAGTTTTTCTTCCGGTCACAGAGTCAAGGTCAAGAAACTCAAAGGCTGTGTGGCTCCCAGCCAGTGCATCTGTCCCGGGTTACTCCCTGACCTTGCCACATAAGCTCTAGTGAATTTGAGACTTAAACCCTGGTGTGCTAATGCCTGGCTTCCCGGCCCTGGCTGCCCCGATTTCTCTCATCTTGCACTGCTGACACCCCTGAGCCTCGGCCGGAAGTCCTATTGGACCTTGAGACAAACCCAACACCCACCAATTTCCTCTTGGATTTCTTGGGCTACGTAAGGTACTTTGTAGAGCAGGGAGAGGCTCTGGTTCCTTCTTTCTTCAATCACATGGAGATGTGTCATCACCTGGAGGGACAGAATGGCAGAGAGGCCTTGTTACTAACAGAGCCAGGCCCAGGGGAAACTTGGCAGACGCTCACTTCCTCAAATATCAGCTGAAAACGTATGTTCTCTACAAAGCACAGCAAAGCAGCTGGCCAGAGGAAATGCATCCAACCCCACCCTGATTTACTGACCCCTACAGCACAACAGTCGCCCCCCTTATCTGCGGGGCCTATGTTCCAAGACCTCCACTGGACGCCTGAAACTGCAGACAGTACCGACCCCCATGTACACTGGGTTTTCTTCCAACGCATACATACCTAGAACAAAACTCAATTTATAAGCTAGGCACAAGAAGAATAACCAACAATAAAAAAAAACAATCATACTATAATACAAGGGACTTAATGTGGTCTCTCTCTCAAAATACCTTCTTGCACTGTTACCCTTCTTCTTGTGATGATGTGAGAAAATGCTATGTGACGTGACATGAGGGGAATGACAGAGGCCCTGTGACATAAAGTTAGGCTCCTACTGACCTCCTGAGGATAAGGGGCAGGTGGGGGCGGGGAGCGGATAATTCGCTTCTGGGCTGCAGCTGACTGTAGGTAACTAAGACTACAGACAGTGAAGCCTCAAATTGGGGGCGGCACACTTCTGTAGAAGAGTATGTTTAGACTGTATGTAATACCCCTTGGCAATCCGAGAATTTATCCAGAGAATGCTTGGAGTTAAACGAAAATATATTTTAAAATTTCCACTAGACAGTTATTGATTTGACTTTTATACAAGGCACTTAGTAACTGTACTAATCGAGAGTAAAAAGCACCCTAAATTATACAATGCCGGATACTCAGTAAGGTTTTGCTGAGTGACAGACGGAGGGAGTCCATTTTTACCACTTGTCAGACTGGATGGGGTAAAAAGAGAATGAAATCATGAGCTGGAAAGTAGATCTCCATGGAGAGGGGGCCATTCATGGATTTGCTTAGTGAAGTAATTGCTTGAAATGATTATCATGGTGAATAATAGAACAAATTTATTCACATTTAACTGAATTAGTTAGTCCTTCCAAAATGTACGCCAAGGTACAAGTAAACCTGATTTTAGGGGGTGATAAAGACTTACTTACAACAGTTCTAGGTTGTTCATGTTTTTTAAAAAAAGGAAAAAGCCCATCAAAAATGGTCATTTACTCTTAAAAGCTTTTCTTCCGGGGGAAATGAAAGGTAACCTGGGGTAACATCCACCGGAAGGCGACAGTGAGGCTTCATGTTGCCTTAGCTGCAAGCTAATTCAGGATGGTTACACTTGCAGTTACCATGCTCGTCCTAAAGAGGGCGCTCTAAGCCTATGGCTTAATTAGTGGGCTTGAAGCCATTAGTATGGTCAACATGGAAAAAAAATTAAATGGAAAGATGCTTTTATTGTAGATTGATGTCTCTCTGACCTTTAAAAGCAGGGATGAAAGCAATTTAATTTTATATTTGCCATTCTTTCAATCAAGTAAATTGATGGGAAAGCACAAGAGTAAGTGCCTTAGAAAATGCAAATGGAAAGTGAAAATGCACCACCCTCAGTCTTTGCAAGCATGTGGATGCTGTTATACTTCCCATGAATTACAGAGCCATTTGATCGAGGACGGTTCTTATGCCCCCAGGAGAAACAAGAGCGACAGCATGGAATACGGGATACCCGTATCTTCCCCGTGAGAAGGGCTTACTTCCCAGTGAGCCCTGAGCTACAGTATGTGGGGTAGGAGCACCAGACCGTTTAGCACAGACCGAACACGCACGCCATAACTGGCTACACGTATTCAGCATTTTCTAAAGTGTAGAGAACAGGGAACATGCAAAAGTTTGTGTAGTTCAGCAGCCAAGTTCTACTAGAACTAAGGGCTTAGAGCACAGAGCAAATACCACAGAGGAAGAGCCGGGTTTTCCCCGGGATCTGCTAAGAAGGGAGGGCATTCTACTCCCCACGCCATCTGCTGTGGCACTGTGAGCCTGCCGGCAGACAACTCCTTCCCTAGTTGTTAATACGCTGATCAAGGTCTCTCCTTTCCTTCTATTCTCACGCCATATACTACATGATAATCTAGTTTCCCCACAAAAAAAATCTGAAGAAAAAAAAAAGTCATGTTTTTTGTTTCTGTTTCATTTTCCTGTTTGTTTTCAAAAAAACCAAGCAGACCTGAAATCTAGCCCCTGTCAAGGTGGATGCATTGTTCCACCTACACTTCCTGGAAGCTACTCTAGGACTTGGCCTTCTGCCTTCTCTCTTACTCCAACCAGCTCAAAGCAAAGCCTTGAGCTCCAGGTCTATGCCAGATGCCTCCCAGGGTCCCCAGAGCCATCCGTGTCCACATTCTCCCACTCTTCTCGTTCCCCCAAACATCCGGCTTCTGGAATGTGTAAGGGTAGTTCTTCATCTTCACGGCTACTGTAATTAATACTACACTGATGGTGAGTTGCTCAAGGGTACAAGCGGGATTCCATTCTACAAGGTCAGATGCTAGCACAGGGTCTGGCATGTGGACAGCAGGCTCTCCAACATCTGAACCAAGGGAGCAGCCACCGCGGTTGCAAGACTTCTGGGCTGACTGCCTTGCAACCATAATACACACTCGGCAAGAGGCTGGGAGGCGAGTCTCTGGGGAGATGGGCAAGTCCCCGGCAGCTAAGTGCATCCCATGGACACTGGGCAGTCAGCACAACACTCGATTTAAAATACAGGAGGAAATTAAATAAGATCAGCTGTGTCATGACAAGGCCCTCTAGGAAAACCAATAGGCTAAGCTATTAGACTTGCTGGTTTACAGGGCCAGCAGGCTTGCAGGCCAGGCTTCTTTTCTACAAACACAAGAAGAGTAAAACGCAAGTTAACGGATGATACTGAAATTAAGAGGATCCAGAAACAAATCTCTCCAGATCACTGTAAAGGAAAGCTGGACCCCACATGGGACAAAACCCAGGAATGTACCACTGTCTGTCTCAACTAAAACTCATGCACAAAACAAACAAAACAATTTCTTAGAATTACTTGATATAGTTGCATATATCCATTCATTCGGATGAATGGATAATGAACGGATATATGCAAACTATGTATCATTCAGATATGTCTATATCTGTATGTATTCAAATATTCATTTTGGTGGTACCCAAATTCAGAAATAAACAGGTCTAAAAAAGACTGAAAAACTTAGTCCTTCAATATAATCATGCATTCCTAAACTTCCAGAAACTCTTTTAAGTAGAAATAACCTAAAAGAAGAAAGTATGAAAAAGGTATTTTTACTATCAGCACCACCCGAACACTGATCAAAGCAGTCTCCCCACTAGAGATGCTCCCACCGCAATTTCTACTCTGTCTAGTTGTACCTGGGATTTCATCTGGGCTGCCTTTTCTGGGTCAACAGCCAACACATGCTGGTAATGACGGATGGTATGCAGGCGATCTTTGTTCTCAGCGCGGACGTAACGCCGCAAGGCCTGAAGAATGCGATGAGGCTGTAAGAGAGAACAGTAGTTTAAAGATCCAGACACTACAGAATGAAAACAGGCTGGAAAGCAAAGCTTAAAAACACTCACCTAAGAATGTAAAGTCCAGTCAGGCATAAGGATGAAAGCTGTGCTTTTTAAAGCTTTTAGCTTACCCAGTAGCAAGAAACTACCTTTCCACAGAAAGTACCAAAAACTAAGTTCCAAAGTTATACTGGCTCCTTAACCAACAGTGTTTTCCAGAATCTCTAGCCCACTCTCCCACTCAATCTCTCCTCTTTCCTGGGTTAAGCATCTGACACCTTAATTACAAGGTTGGCAGCCCCTGTGTCACCCAGAAAGACTCTACTTGCTCACTTAAGAAGGATACCAAAAAAAAAAAAAAAAAAGGAAGAAGGATACCAATATCCTACTTTCCAGTACTTTCCATCCCCCCAAAGCAAGGGGAGTTAAGAGATTAAGTTAACATTAACTTAAGAGATAAGTTAACATTAGAGTTAAGAAATAAAGAAGCATGAGGCCACTAGCACAAAGGGCTTTGACAAAAGTTCCTTCACCCCTTTGTTCATAATCTTATTCAGAACAGAGTGAGTGCCAAAGCTTTGAAAGGCAGGTTTTTATTCTTTGAAAGTAAAGCTACTACAAAATTCAGTAACTGAGTAACTACCAACCAGAATCGTGAGGTCAGACACTTCCGTATCACAAGCGGCACACGCAAGCAGAAAGTGTGGTGCTCCGGTGACCTAAGCACATACTAGAACGTGATACCTCTTTCTCCCTGCTCCGCTTTCCGTACCTCCTCCAGCCTCGCCGGAACTCATCATAGAAATGTGATCATTTTGCTGACCCATGATCATCATCCGTCGGTTCTACGTGTGGCCGACACTAGAGCCGGCAACCCCGAGGACAGCACTCGTCAGTGACCGGGCTCTGCACACCACTCACCCGCGGCGGGTCGGACTGCAAGGCGGCGAGGTAATTCTCCAGAGCCATTCGGCGGCGGTCATTCAGCATGGCTTCCACTCGAGCCAGGTGGGTTTCCACCAGCTGCTGCTTCTCGCTGGCCGCCTCTTTCTCCAAGGCTTTCACCATAGCTTGGAAGTGCTAAACCCGGAAAGCAGGAACGGCATGTAATTCACGGCGCCTGGAGGAAGTCTAAGCAAACAGCCTGAGCCCCCATTGCTCCTCTCTTCACCCAGAACCTGTGCAAGTCGGTAACAGGGTCAGAGGAGTGGAGCAAGGGTAAGATCCAAGAACACTCTGACTGCTGTCAGAAAAATCACGTGAGAGCATGTTCGATCAGAGCATCAGAGTCCAAATTAGCACTTCTGTCGCTGAAATCACCAGTGTTGCAAGCCCAGTGTGGGCTTTCTCAATGTGCCCTGCAAGAGGAGGAAAGCTGTCCTTTCCACACTACGGCCAAGGCGCCCAACTTCCAAATCCTGAGACACAAACCAACGGGAGCTAGAGTTTGAAACATATCCCAACAGCATGGTAGGTTATGCTGAGTCATTCACGTCGAAGTCCTGAATGAAGGGCAAGTTATCTGTGAAGTACCTGGCCAGGCTTGAAGGTAAAGTTTGAAGGCCGTGGAACTAAATTTCTCTGCATAGGATGCATTGACTATGTAGTAATTAATACTCTCAGATTTTCAGAGTGATTGATAAAAAAGAAAAGTGTCCCAATAAAGTCTTAACATTGTGAGAAGCTAGACTTCAGTGAATCATAAACACAAACTGATTTAAAATGCAACCTGCTTTATGAAACCCAAATCAGTCTTATAAATTGCTATCCCTATTCCTAGCAACAGTCTCTTCTATTCAAGGGGCACCCAGCTACTGCTAAGACTAATGTTACATTCTTACAAAGTTAGAAGATGGACTGGTACCTTAGAGTGTCTTACTGTCTGCCTTTTGAATTTTGAAGAAGTCTGCAAAAACAGAATTCAGAGGGCACCTGAGTGGCTCACCCAGCTCAGTGTCAGACTCTTGGTCTTGGCTCTGGTCAAAATCTCACGGTCTTGAGATCGAGCCCCTACCCATGCACCCATCCCTTGGGCTCTGGAAGGAGGAAAATTCCCTCTGCCCCTCCCCCAACTCACACACACTCATGCTCATGCACACACATGCACTCTCTTTCAAATAAATAAAATCTTTGAGAGAGAGAGGAAAAAAAAAAAAAGAATTCAGTACTGCTGAAAAACAAGTCACAGCCTAAGAATGAAGATGACCGAGGATTTTTGCCAGGAGAGCAGAATTAACAAACAGAGGCTAAGGTTGCTTCCTGGCATGAATTAGGTGCGTTCTGGTTGGTTTGCTTTGCTTCTATTATAGGTGATCAGTTCTAGAGAATGCCAGTTTGGAGGTGAGAAGAAAGAAAAAAAAAAAGGCCACTTAAAACATCCCTGTAACATAAGCTCTCGACTGAGAGACAGTGTCAAACCCTAATTTCCTGGGCGTCTGGCTCTGACTGGGTTTCAGAGGGCCAGGCTGCAGGCTCTGTCCCTAGAGAACGCATCCTACCTGAATGAGAGTCTGCCTCTCTGCTTTCGGGAGGTTCTTGGCCTGAAGCTCAGCCTCTTCCCATTCCTTCTTTACCTAGAACAAAGGTCAAAGCCACTATCACCAGAGAATCATCTCTGAAACAATCCCCCCGTTTTCTAACACCAACACCAGGCCCTGAAATCTAATAAAGGAAACTGCACCATATGACCCCTCACGAGCTCAGGGCTGTTCAAGCTTGTTCACAGAACTACTGTCTCAGAAGCTCCCAGACCATGACCGTCCCCAAACAGAGCCTCAACTCCATGACCTCCCTGTTCTAGATAACCCCAGGCAAGTTATTTAAAAGTCTTTGCGCATTAGCCTCCTCACAGATGTAAAATAATGGGGGTGAGCGTCATGTTTTATACCTACTTCTCAGAACAGTTGTGGATAAAAGAAAACGACAAACATTTCCTGAAGCATAAGCCCAGCACAGGTGATGTGTGAGCTTTTAGGCAGTATTCAGACCTAACAAGAAATTCTTTTCCATTTTCTTTCAGTCTTCCTAAGTAACTCCAGGAGAGATCTGCACTACGGTGCTCCATGTTGCTCGAACACTTACAGCCCTTTTAAGAAAGCATCCTGAGGGGCACCTGAGTGCCTTAGTTGGTTAAGCGCCTGCCGCAGGGTCCTGGGATCGAGCCCTAGTCAGGCTTCTTGATCAGTGGGGAACCCGCTTCTCCCTCTCCCTCTGATGCTCCCCGTACTTGTGCGCGCGCACATGCTCTCTCTCCCTCTCTCCTCTCTTGCTGCCAAATAGATAGATAAAATCTTTAAAAAGAGAAAAAAGCATCCTGAGACTCAGAACCTTCAGCAGGCAACAGCATCTAGCTAGAGTGTGTTAATTCAGGTTTGCTCTCATCTATTTTTACAGCTACCTGTTCTAATGGCAAAAGACACTAGCTTTCTATTTACAACAGTTAAATAGTTTCCCTCCTTAAAATAAAAAAATTTTTAAAAGCTAGTTCATAGCAAAGAAAAATAACAAGGACGTAATGGTTATAGGAAGTGCTCCACAGAGTCTGAACACGATATGCACGCAGAGAGTTAATTATATTATCGGTGGGGAGGGGGGTGCTGGGCTCTCCCAGAAGAGGGCCCTGCTAACCTCTCACACCTTACCTAACACAGCATGACAATCTGGGGGGGATGGTGTCCCTTTTCTTCAATGATGAAAACCCTACTACCCAACGCCAAACACCAGGAGCATAAGGGAAGTGCCAAGCTTTACCCTGTCCATCCGGTTGCGGTGCCGTATTTCCAGCTGCTCCTTAGCCTTCTGGAAGCGGGCATGCTCATTGTCATCTGCAGAGGTCTCGAAATACACATCGACATCATTGGTTGGCAGAGGAGTTGGGGGAACTGAAACGAAATGACAAGAGGGGTTCCCTTTGGGGGTCAGGCCCAACACGGAAAGCGCGTTGGGCTCTAGAAGAAGGCTGAGCAGAGCACCTGCACGACGAACTAGCTGGCCTTGCACCGTGCTCCCAGGACACGGTGCTCCTGTCTGCCAAGACTCCACTTGGTCAGATCACAGTGCTCCATCTTCCTCACGTGACATTCGACCACGAGGCCAGTCCGGGCCCCCTCCTATCTTTGGCACCAGCCAGGCACCTACTTAGGACTCAGGGGAAGAAAAAGAAATCCTCTATACCTTCCCACAGTTCCTGAAATCATAAAAGCTAAACTCTAATCATTTACTGCTGTCACTGATGGCTTCTAGCCAGAGACAAGGGCAGGTATCAGACCTGCAAAGGCACCTCCCCCAAATTCTCCATTCTGAAAGGAACTTTGGTGCCGAATGGTGTTTGCACAGAGACTGCGTAGAGGAAGTCCAAGCGGCTTAGCTCTAATGTTTTAGTTACAAATAGGACTGAAGAAGTCTTAGCCCCATCCCCAACACCAGGGATAAGAGGGACGACACTAAGTTGCTGTATTTGACAAGGACGCACCACAGAGTGTGAAGATACTTTGGGCGTTTCAACCCATGGCACTCACTGGCCTTACCAGGTCACTGCCCAAGAACAAACCGTTAGAAAACACACTCCTCCCTGCTGGTCAAGCATTAAGGGCTTAGTGGCCCCAGGCAAGTGAAGAGCTAGCAGCACAATGGAGCCGAACCTTATAAAGGAAAGGTTTGAGATGACAAGTTTACTTGCCTGACCCCTGAAGAAATACTTACAAACACTGGGACTAGCCCAGTTCACTCCCAATTTCCCAAGCCAGGGCAGAAGGACAAAGAACTTGCTGATACAACTTGCTGTATAATATGAGAGCTAAGTGGAGAGCCAATACCAAACCCAGTGAATTTCAATTCAGAAATAAAGTCACCTTACTTCCAGAACGGTGTAGCTGTAACACAACACTGAAATAACTGTGTCACTGACAAATGCAACTACAAATTAGTCAGCCACTCCAAAGTTCTGCCGCCAAAGCATCTTTCCCTTAGCTTTAAATCTAAAAGCTGCGACTAAAATTTTGTCAAGAATGTCTGGCTCCTACATAAAGTTTGAAGACGATCACCACAGCCAATTTTCAGACTAACCAAATTAGGATACACAGCTTCACAAGCCGCCTTCCCCGTGATACTCTGAAGTTCAGCCGGGAGAATTTCAAAGCCCTGAAGTCCATCGGTGCCAATGAACAAGCTGCCCTCAGCAACGCATGTCTGCAGCTTAAAGGCTTATGTGCTGGAGACCGTCTTCGGTTCCTATCACTGGGCTGGATAAAGATAATACAAAACTCAAGCTGCCACCACCCCCTGGAACAAAAAGGTAAAGGCAGAGCAGCCCCAGAGCTCTGCTGGGACCCAGACCTACAACCATGTCCTTCCGTCCATGTGAAAACAACCAGCTTAAGAAACCAGCACATTTGCCCACCTCTGACCCCTCCGGGGAGGGGCACACACTTGACCAGCAGCACAGTGATGCTTCTAGGCTCTCAAAGCACTCAACCGGGGACCCCACAGATCTATGAACCCCAAGCTTCTCTGTGGCAAGTCTTCCCTACCGTAAGCGCTGGGAAACTACAATTCTGTAGACGGCAGAGCCAGGAATGCTGTAGAGGACAGCCATTCCATCACAGCTGCCCCCACTACCTACGTGATCCTCTGGGAACGACGGTCTCTCTGCATTCAGGGAGATCTTTAACGACCCAATTCCTCGGGCTTCACCCCCAAATAATGTATTGTTTCACCTTAGTTTAAGTAATTTTACAAAGCAGGAAGTATCACAATAATTTCTGTCTTTCCTGAACAAAGAAGTTCCTGCCACAAAGTTCCCTAAGGACTCATACTGTTTCCACACTTTCAATTATTTCTAATAAAAACAGCTTTTCCACAGAGCAGCAGCTGGAGTGGAGGTGCCAAAAGCATACCGTATCATGTTAAGATTTAAAACAGCTTTTGGTGGGGGAGGAAAGAGGAACATGAAGGTATCTGAACGAAAATCCATCAGAAGCTACAGCCCAACATCTTTAAAGCAAAAACCAGAAAGGACCAGCAACTCCTTACTCTAACGAGTTCCAGGATCAGAACCAAGAAATGAGTGTTTAGCCTGAGCGAGGATTTTCCAAACACATGGACTAGCTAGCACTGCGAGGTAAGACAACAGGGGCCTGAGAAAGGGAAGGGAGTCACCACAGAGAAAAGCGTTAAGTTCTCCTACCCGTATCTAAGTGAACCCAGCCCAGCTGAACAAACCACTGAATGTCCTCTGTGACCAAAGGACACATGAACTAAAATTCTTTCACTTCCTAACGGTCTGCGTGATCCAGCGTTGCCAAAACCCTGGAGAAACAGAGGCTACAGTGCAACTGCAGAGCTCGCTCCTAGAGTGCATAAATTAGCAAGACATCTCGATATTCTGGACTCTCAAAAAAAAGTAACCCTAGGGTCACTTCTCTAAAGAGCGGGCACCCCCTCAGCCAGCACCATGGGGGTAGGCGACAGGGTAGCCCCAAGACAAGAGTAAGAGGGAGAAGCCCAGGAACAAGAACGGGCAGAACTCAGGACCTCTGTGCTGACCATCCTGTGCCTCTCCACCACAGCCAGCCACGGTCAAGGCTGCCATCCCCAACCAACACAGATGTGCACCGGGAGCCCACAGATGACAAGGCAGGATGCGAAAACAAGCCCCCAGGCTTTCCCACTGGGCCGGGGAGGGGACACACCACCAGCCACCGCCACCAGACCCACGGTGAGCATGGGACACACAGAACTGGGCTCACAGCTGCCAACAGGAGAGCAAAGCCTAGATCTAGAAAGCACAAAGAGGAGGGGAGGAACGACGACAGCAAACACCTGTGTCGGCGGGAGCACGACACAGACGCAGTCACGAGGACGGCCAGGAGAGAGACAGAACGCTGGAGAGAGACAGAACGCCGGACAGACAGGGCCACGGCACGGAGCCCGCGCACCGAGACTTACTCATCGCTTTACACACAGCCATACAATAATCCTCAGACTCAAAATTGTTCCTGTTGCCTCCGCAGCCGCCATATATAAAGCGCACGCACTTCCCCTTGGAGAGGTCGAAGTACCAACGGGGCATCACGGCCCGGCAGGGCCCCGTCATCGCCTCCTGCGAGCAGACAGCTGTGTGGAAACGGTCAGAAGGTCAGCAGGACAGAGGCAGCGGCTTCGTGCGCTACCCAACTGCTACAGGCCGGCGACGGCCGCGCCGAGGCCCCACGGACGCGGAGCCTCCACGGACGCCGAGCCCCGCCGGGACCTCACTGCCCTGGCCAGCCAGCTCGCCAACTCCGGCTCGTCGTTCAGGGGGATGCGGTCGTCCTCCCGTTCTGATGGAGTGCAGGCAAGCAGGAACAGAAAACATTTCTCCCACTGTCTGGAGTCTAGACCAACACGGGGGGGATTCTGGGTCTCACTGCTCTGGGAGCCTCACAGTTCTGATCCGGCAAGTGGAGCTGTGTGCCTGACCTGTCCATCATGCTGGGGTCAAGGACCAAAGGAGCCCAGTGCAGGGAGAAAGGCTGCTTTAGTGGTGATGACCACAGGAAACACTACTCAGGCACCCAGGAAGCATGCGTGGGCATTTTTATGTTTTCCAAGGTAAATCATAAACTTTTAGACTTTTTCAGTATTTCCCCCACACTGAGTCCTAGATAATTCTTCAGAGTCTAATGGCTTCAAATATACACTCAGCAGGAGACTGCGTTTCAACAGCTCTAGAATGGACACAACCTTTTTTTCTCTTTTTTGGGAACTGGCAAGATGAAAATCCTTCACCAGTAGGTCGTTAAACTCCACCCTCCCCGTCACAGACATCTTCTAGTGGACAAATGTGGCAGCCTATAGATGGGAACACAAGAACCAAGAAGTCACTTCCATTCTAGGAGGTCGGGGCTTTGACACACTGAAGAGGGGGCGTCCCTCGGGGAGAGAACATCTCGGGCTGCTGTGGAAGAACCCTGCTCAAGCATAAATCACCTTATCTCCCGGATTCTCTGGTCTAGTCCTTCTTCTCTAGTTAGGTCCTTACAACACAAATGAGAGTTTCTGATTCAATTTCAGGTCCCTCCCTGGGTGTGTCAACTGCCAGACCCCGCAGGGGCCTGGCCCCCCAACGGTAATATGGCGCCACCAGTGTGCTGGCGAGCCGATCTGACATCAGCACCCAGGAGCACCACCTCTCCTGTGACTTACCTGTGATGAACGCAGTCCAAAATTGTAAGCAAGTATTACCAAATGGATTTTAATGCCACAACTTTACATCAGGTTACCTTTAACGTCATGAGTAATTTCCTTTTCTGAAACTGTCCCATCGCTGCTGGGTTCAGTTGGGCTCTCCTCATTGTAGTCATCTCCTTTAAAGGTGTCGTAGTAGTAATCACGGTCTTCCACCACTTCCTCCCCTTCCTCCTCATCCTCATCGTCCTCATCCACAGCTGCTTCTGTGAAGTCCTCCAAATCTGCTTCGGTAGGAAATTCACTAAAGGTCACAACAGAAAAGGAAGATTAATACCAATTCTTATATGCACAGCACAACAATGATTCTCCTCCCTATTCTGAAACACAAAAACAGAGGCAGGAAATAAGCTCAACTCACAGCTCACTGGGCCGCTACAACCCTCAGCCCAGCTACACCAGCAAAAGGGCGGACCTGGTGGGCAGGGACTGCATTAACCCGCAGCAAGTCCTATGGCTAGAACGAAATGCCGGCTGGCTCAACTCCCACTTTATCCAGAGGCGGGCACTGGCAGGCCCCGGCCACGAGAAAAACCATTTCACAGGTGCAAGACAAGAGTTTACCTCTTGTAAATATCATAGTCTTCCTCTTCATCCTCCTCCTCTTCTTCCTCCTCCTCCTCTTCCTCCTCTTCCTTTGACACAGTAGATTCAATCATCTTTGTCTGAGGGCAGCACACATACTCAGTGCCGTGAAACTGGTCTACCCCACAAGGCAGCAACATGCCGTAGCGATATAAGGTCATTCCCTGAGTCAGACAGGCCTAAAGGAAACCCACAGGTCCACAAGAGAACATTAATACATTTGGTCAAGTAGTCCCCAGTCATTAGCTTTATCCAAAAGAAATGCCAGTCAAATCACTATGCAGGGCGTCTGGATGGCTCAGTCAGTTAAAAGGCTGCCTTTGGCTCAGGTCATGATCTCAGGGTCCTGGAATAGAGTCCCACATCAGGCTCTCTGCTGAGCAGGGAGCCTGCTTCTCCCTCTTCCTCTGCCTGCTTCTCTGCCTACTTGCACTCTGTGTCAAGTAAATAAATAAAATCTTTTTAAAAAATCACTATGTAAAGCTTTCTCTCATGGACATATCAATTTTCTGTCAACAAGTTGTGATGCCATTATTTTAAGAAGATTTACAAATTTTGCTTAATGGGCAATGGGAAACATCATCTGAGCCAGGAACAATGAAAGACCAAAGTTAGAAAAAAATTAAGAAAAAGGGAATTCTTCTAGTAATTATCAATGCTGGCTGAAGGTAGTCAGAGATAATTTACATTCCTTGCTGAGAGGGCATGGTGTCAGAATGTGACCAAAGAAACTGACTAGTGATTCCTCTTAACTACAGAAGACATGTATAAGAAAGGCTATTTCTCCTCCCAGAAGAATGAAATGGCATCTAATCCTATCGGTATATATGTTGAGACAGGGTTTTCTATAACTGGCTATTTCTACTCTAAATTCCTAGGATTGGGATGGCCTCCTTGGGAACCTGACTGACAGCATCCTTGCTTTTTAACATCCTTAACTTGAGGGGGTGGGCAGTCAACACCGCATTTTCCCATGAAAATACCCTCCCAAATATGTTTAATTTAGAAGATACACGTAATCTTACATTTTGAAGAGAAAAAGGGAAAATAAAATCAACTTGAAATCATGAGGTTTGGAAGAAAATGCTACTTTCTCCCTTAACCAGAATAACAATACATGATCCATTCTTTTACCTCTTTGACTACAGTGTGCCAATGCTGGTGATTCTCGCACACCTCCATCCGCTCTTTGTGGAAAAACTGGCACTTTTCTGGAACTAGTAGAACATCACTTACGAATTCACCCACTAGAAGAGAGAAAAAGCTTTGTTACAGGCAATCTGATGATTCGAGGTAGCAAGGACCCTCACTGAAGACTAGGACAGTTCTGTAGTGGGGCAGGAGCAATCTCAAATGTATAAAAAAGCTGATGGGCCTCTCTCATCTTCCAAGGTCAACTGGACATTATACATCCAGGCAAGCAGCCACAACAGCTCAACATTCTGTTACAGTGATGGTCTTTGGGACTTTCCTCAGTCTTTCCAAACTCTAAAATCCCTTACAGTCCAGTTGCAGGGATAACGCAACACATGATGGGTAGAACAGGAATAGGAGCCCCATGCCCACCATTCCATGACCTCAGACACACACAGACAGTCCTCTGAGTTCACATGCATTCATATTCCTAGTCTCTTATTCCCTCATTCTGCTCACATTAGGTTTTTTTGTTTGTTTGTTTGGGTAAGATTTGTTCATTTATTTTACAGAGGATGGCGGGAGGGGCCGAGGGAGAGAGATAGCCTCTCAAGCAGACTCTGCGCTGAGCACACAGCCCAATCCCACCGCCCTGAGATTATGACCTGAGTCGAAACCAAGAGAGGGATGCTTAACTGACTGCGCCACCCAGGCGCCCCAGTTCTAATAACAAAATAACAAAATGCCAAGAAACTCAGGGTGTTCTTTGGAAGTACGGATGACTCTTACTTTAGCCCTTTGTGTACCTAAAGACACACAGCTCTAAGACAAAGCACTGTAATAAGTGAACTGTAATAACGCATTGTCATAAGTGAATCAGGAACGACTGTTCGATGGAAGGGAATGGGTGCTTCTGTGATGGAAAACTCTGGCAGATGCTACTTTTTTTCACCAGGTGACCAGCCTAACACGTGGTTTGTCACTGACAATGACAAAATGACAAATGTGATGTGCTAAGAAGAAAATATCACCATACAGTCTTTCTGCCAAAAATATGTCATGAGTCTAATCATGATAAAACAGTAAGAAAATTCAAATTCAGAGATATATTTAAACAAATGACCTAAACTGAAAAAATATCAAGTCATGAAAGATTTTTTAAAAAGAAGGAATTGGGGAACTGTTGATCAAATGTAATGTTTCATCCTTTTTAAAGGAATGCTATAAAGGACATTATTTGGACATTTAGAGAGAAAATGTCCAAGGTAGGATTTTTATATTGTAGTTATACAGAATAAAGTCCCTGCTCTTAGGAGAAAAAAACTGAATAGAAGTGAACTGTCATTATGTCCCAACTTACTTTCAAAGGGTATAATAACAACAAACAAAAGTTAGATACGATGTGCATGTGCACATGTGTACACACACACACACACACACACACACGCACACAGAGTGGACAGATAAAGCAAAAATCAGAAAACCTTGGTGAAGAGTATAAAGGTATGCACTGTTACATTTTTTCCTATAGGTCTGAAACTTTTCAAAAATATTAAAGCTGAGGAACACCTGGTTGACTCAGCTGGTAAAGTGTCTGCCTTCGGCTCAGGTCATGATACCAGCATCCTGGGATCAAGCCCCAAGGCAGGCTTCCTGATCAGCGGGGAGCCTGCTTCTCCCTCTCCTTATGCCGTCCCGCTGCTTGTGGGCTCACTCTGTCTCACATAAATAAATAAAATAATTTTTTTTTAAATACAAAGCTGGAAGGAAAATACACATAGCTGTTCAAAAAACAGAACGTGATCTTTCAGAAATACACACTGACATATTTACAGGAAAAAAAGTACTATCTGTGATATGTTTCCAAATTAGCAAGGGTAGGTAGGTAGGAGTGGGTCCACAGACAATGGGAGAGTGACTCTCAAAATGATGATCGTTACACAGCTGGACCCCGGGTACGTAAGGGTTAACAGTATTATTTTTCTCTATGTTTGGACATGTTTGTAATTTCCATTAAGAAAAGGCTAAAAATACATCTATCACGGGGGCACCTGGCTGGCTCCGTCAGTAGAGCATGTGATGACTCTTGATTTTGGGGTCTATGTGTCCACATGGTGTGTAGAACTTACTTTAAAAAAAATATTCATGTATCACTGGATCATCACCCAGAGATTCTGATTCATTAAGCCTAAGTGGGACTCAGTGATTTTCACTGAACAAACATTACAGAGATTCTGATCCATCACCAATATGCTCCACACCAGTTCTCAGTGGAGGAAAACAGAGGGAGAGAGGTGTGTGCTCAGCTCAGGAAGAGATGCAGTAAGTAGGGGCAGGAGAAAGGAAGCAGGCAGCTAACCTCTGAGGTCTCCTTTTCTTTTCTTTTTTTTTTTTTTTTTTTTTTTCTTCTGAAAAAGGAAGTGAACAGGAAAGTAATCTGGCCTGAGAAAGGTCTCAGGGCTTTGAACTAGTGGAAAGTCCATGTAGACCCACTAGGTTTGTCATTGTGGCCTGGTCCTCCAGGACTGGTCCCCCCAGGCCTCAGACTCTGGGCACTACAGAAGTCAATCCTTCCATGACCCAAGTGGCAAGTGAAAGGAGTCCTTGATCTACTTTAAGGGGGGAGGTGTGCTCTGACATTACAAGCTGGAGCAGTAAACGCGCCTCCCCACATAAAACAGCCTTTCACAGGGTAATGACATTTCACACTATTTTTTTTTTTTTAAGATTTTATTTATTTATTTGAGAGAGAGAGAGACAGCGAGAGAGAGCACAAGTGAAGAGAAGGTCAGAGAGAGAAGCAGACTCCCCGTGGAGCCGGGAGCCCGATGCAGGACTCAATCCCAGGACTCCAGGATCATGACCTGAGCCGAAGGCAGTCGTCCAACCAACTGAGCCACCCAGGCGTCCCACATTTCACACTATTATTAGCACAAGGGAACTGGGGGGTCCAGTAGCTCCATCTGACACTAACGCAGGAACACAAAGTAGTAAGTTAGACATAGTGTTGCCTTGACGCCCTAAAGGCTCTAAGGTGGTAGAACATGTACATAAATTTTTTCAATCAACCAGGCACAATCAATGCTTTAAAAAAGCAAAATCCCCATGGGTAAAGGAGGATCTGCCTCTACTAGGAGAAACAATCGTGACACTCGACCAAGTCAGAAATCACTTAAACTATGACATCCAACCACCAACTCATACTGTTTTAATGTGATCACCCTGTATTGATGAGGCAATTTTTATATTTAATTTATGAAAAAGGCAACAAAAGAGTATATTAGAAGGCAGTGTGCACAGGGTTAAATGCTGGAGTTCAATTTCAGCACTATTGTTACTACCAGAGTGGTCTTAGGCAACTTACTTATTAACCTTTCTGTGCCTCGATTTCCTTACTTAGGTGTGAGGATGAAATAATATAATATGCAGAGCACAGAGAAAGCTTGGAGCAGAACCTAGTGCACGGCGCCCACAGAGCAGGAGGTGAGTGTGCTAGCTCTGATTACCGATGCTAATGTTGCTACAGCCTTGACCTGAGTAGCTTCACACAAAGCAAACTATATATATACCTATAGTTATCATACACAAATCTATAATTTGTAAAACCACAATTTTGTGTACAAATGCGACATCAGAAAAAAATTTAAAATAGCAATTTTATTATTAGATATGCAGTCTATTAAAAACAATAAACCGAGTTTAAAGAATACAATGGAATACTATATATCAGGTTAAAAATGAATGAAATCTATTTATATCACACCTTAGACACACCAAAATGATGTAAAGTAAAAGTTGTAAGAGGTCAAGTAGAGAATTATACCACTGAGGTAAGTTTGCAAACACAAAAACAAATGGTCTGTAGATACATACATATATAGAAGCATAAAAACATGCGAGACAGATGGAAGGTGGGGGGTGGGTGGGAAAAACAGGTGATAGGGATTAAAGAATATAGCTATCATGATAAGTGCTAAGTAACGCAGAGAATTGCTGAATCACTAATATTATATATCTGTAACTAACAATAATGTACGTTAACTACACTGGAGTTAAAATTTTTAAATTAGTAAAAACATAAATAAAATAAAGAAGCTACCTGAACTTGGGTTCTTCCTCACCCCTCAAAAACATGTGAGAATAACATGCTAACAAGGGGGCAGTGGTTACCTTGAGAGCAAGGGAAGGAAGAAGGGAGGAAAGGGAAGGAAGGATGGGGCCTTGGACCATTTCAAGCAAAGCTGGCACAATGTTGAAGAACTTGAATCAGGAAGATGAGTACTGAGTGACCATCATATTGTGTTATCTTTTCCGTGTGCTTCAAATACTGTATTTCAGAATTAAGTTTAAAATGAAAACTTTTAAAATGCCAGTGACTTAATAATTAACTCCATGCTATCCTGTAAAATTAAATGCCACCAATCCTTAGCTATTCCATGACTGAATCAATCCGTCTGACCTCTGAAAACCAGAAGAAACTAAAATTTAATAAAAATTAAAAAAAAAAAAAGAATACTCTTTGAGTCAACAAATACAATTCTAACAACATACTCTAAGGAAATAATTAAGCAAGTCAATAAAGATATTTACTGCGGTGTTGTTAATATCAAAAATTGGAACCAACTTAAATGCCCATCAGTAGGGAATTAGTTCAATAATGGTAGCTATATACAATGGCATACCATAAGGTCACAGGTTTGTGTCTCTATGTAACATGGAAAAACTTCCATGGTGGTGATTAAGTAATTTTAAAAATCATTAAAGAAATAGGGGTGCCTGAGTGGCTCGGTCGGTTAAGAATCAGACTCTTGGGGTGGGGTGGCGGGGGAGGAAAAAGAATCAGACTCTTGATCTCAGCTCAGGTTTCGATCTCAGGGTAGTGAGTTCAAGCCCTGTGTTGGGCTCCACACTGGGCATGGAACCTACTTAAAAAGAAAAAAAATAATAAAAATAAAAATCATTAAACAAGGGATGCCTGGGTGGCTCAGTTGTTTAAGCAGCTGCCTTCGGCTCAGGTCATGATCCCTGCGTCCTGGGATCGAGTCCCACATCGGGCTCCCTGCTCGGCAGGGAGCCTGCTTCTCCCTCTGCCTCTGCCTACCACTCTGTCTGC